GCCGAGGCAGCACTCAGCTGCTATCTCGAAGCAGCCAGCCAGTTCAAGAACGCCAAGTCAAGGAAATTGTTGGGACGTGTGTTGTGGTTGCTCAGTTTGGACAATCCGGAGAGGAAGTTGGCGGAGAAGTTTGAGGAGTTCAAGGGTGATACACCGGCATGGTATTGGATAACTTACATTCCACAGTTGTTGAACAGTCTGTCACGACAGGAGGCGCCGATCGCCAGATCCATTCTCGGCAAGTTGGCGAAGACGTATCCTCAGGCATTGTACTGCCATCTTCGAACAACGCGAGAGGATATGGCGGTTCTCAAGAAGACGCACGAGCAGAAGGAGGCAAAAGAGAAGGCTGCAAAGGCCAAGCAACAACAGGGGCAAGGGTCACCCGCAACGAAGCAGGCTTCGCCAGAAACCAGACCCGGATCCAGCACCGGCAGCCGGCCAACAACCGCAGGTGCGGACATTAAGGCTGCTGCGAACGGCACGCCCAACGGCACTGTCAAGACAGAAACTGCTACGCAAGATGGTGCACCAGCTCCTAGCGACGCAGCCCCAGCGCCGAAGAAGCCGTGGGATCATGTCGAAGAAATCAGCGCTATCCTCAAAACGGCTTTCCCTCTGCTCGCTCTCTCCATGGAGACGATGCTTGACCAGATCCAGAAGAACTTCAAGTGCCCACCTGACGAGGATGCGTATCGACTCATCGTTGCTCTGCTCAACGATGGTCTGTCATATGTCGGTCGTCAGCCTAACCTATATGCGAGGGAGATCAAGCTGCCGCAATCAACTGAGGCAAACATAACACGTTTCGCCGAATCGGTCCTCCCACCTCACATTCGCAAGGCTTTTGAAAAGGACTTTGTTACCAACAAGCCAACGATGTACGAGTACATCCAGAAGCTGCGCACATGGCGAAATCGCTTCGAGGAAAGGCTCGATCGCAGGAAGCTCACAGTTCCGCTCGAACAGTACACGCATCAGCTTAGTGAGTTCCGCTTCCTCAAATTCGACGACGTGGAAGTGCCTGGGCAGTACCTGCAACATCGCGACAAGAACTCCGACTTTGTGCGCATTGAACGCTTCCTGCCAGATGTGGAACTGGTGCGCGGTGTCGGTATTTGCCATCGCCGTCTCAAGATCCGTGGTCACGATGGAAGCGTGCACCCCTTCGCTATTCAGTTCCCGGCTGCTAGAAGTTCCAGGCGCGAGGAGCGTATCCTACAACTCTTCCGCATCTTCAACGGCATACTGGCTAAGCGCAAGGAGAGCCGGCGAAGAAATCTGCAGTTCCATCTTCCGCTTATGGTACCGATTACCCCTAGCGTGCGTATGGTACAAGACGACCCTTCATATATCAATATGCAAGGTATTTACGAGGATTACTGCCGGAAGAATGGTATCAATAAGGATGAACCCGTGCTCTTCAGCATCGAGAAGCTGCGAGCACTCCAGCCAGTAAGTTCTTCAGACGCGCATGCAAGCCGCCAGTTTCTAACCCAACCCCAACAGAAGAACCTTGATCACGCCAACAGCATTCGCCTCGAAACATTCGCTGCTGTGCAAGAGAAATACGTGCCCCCGACGGTCATCCAAGACTACTTCCGTGCTACCTTCCCCACCTTCGCCGACTTCTGGCTCTTCCGCCGTACCTTCAGCTACCAACTCGCTGCGCTCACGTTCATGACCTATGTCATGCATATGAATACGCGCTTCCCCCAGAAGATCAGCGTCTCGCGCTCTAGCGGCCGCATTTGGGGTTCCGAACTGATCCCGAGCATGGCAGTTGGTAAGCCCATCTTGCACAACTCGGAACCAGTACCTTTCCGCCTCACACCCAACCTACAAACTCTCATGGGGCCGTTGAATCTCGAAGGCATCTTCGCTCCTAGTGTCATGACAGTCGCGCGCTGTTTGATTGAACCCGAGGGCGAGCTAGAGATGCAACTCAGCATCTTCATGCGCGATGAGATGAACCACTGGTTCACCTCGCAGCACAAGGCCAGCCAGCTTACTCCCGAGGTGCTCAGGGAGAGTGTGCAAAGTAATAGCGATCTGGTAGTCAAGAGGGCCAGCGCGATTGGTAGCCTACCCACGGGCGCCAATCTACCTGCGAACCAGACAGTAGTGGACTTGGTGGCTGTTGCGGTGCATCCGGCCAAGTTGAGTCAGTGCGATCCGCTCTGGATGGGTTATCTGTAAGGGTTTCAGTTCATTGAAGAGATGGGTGTTTGGTGTTTTGAAAAAGGGTATATTGAATGCTTTATGGGAACGTTGATGGGCAAAAGAAGAGAGCATTGAAGAGTTTGGGCATTTTCATATTCATGTTGGGTTTGGTATGCAAGGCGTTGATATAAACGGTCAGGGAGGTATAGCTGTTAGGTTCATTCGGACAAACTTGCTCTTTTAGCTTCTTATCTGTATGTTTTGTGGCACATGCCTAGTGCGACATGGCGTTGTACCAGTAGATATTTTGTATGGAACACAGTTGAAAGTACCTATATCTTGACGAATGGTTCGTTGTGCATCATTGCGATAGATCTTGGCCCTGACTGCCCTGTCTTGCTTTCGCGGTGTGCTGTGCGGCGTATTACATGTATCAAAGATGCGATAAATGAACTCGTCGTGAGTTGGGCGAGATGCGGCTCGTCTCGTTCCGATCGATTCCGAGCGTTCCGATGTCAACCCGTCACCCGTTGAAGCGAACCCACATGGGCATGGAGCTGCCCAGCCACCATCTTTCTCTAAGGATAAATCTACTCAGCAGTGTCAACACATATTTTGCTGCTTGCGATACGTTTTTTGGGACATTTTGCTACGAAAGGATTCCATCAAAGGGCCTCGGCGCACGTTGCTCCTTCATAAGTTGTGAACCCGTGTTTCCACGAATCCCTTCCTCGCTCACGACATCGGCTTCGTCCCGCACCTGTTCATCTCCACGAACGCCCAACAGATAGTAATCCATCAATCAATCTGGCAAAGCGGCCTCAAGGTGTGCGCCACCGAAGTTCGAGGCGTACATGTTGAAACACGTTTATACTAAGCATTACGACAAGCATTACCGACATGGCGGTCGTCGGCTCGCTTGCTTCAGGCTTGTTCGCGATAGATGAGCTGACGCGCGCTCTAGCATGCTTTTGGAAATTTCGGACAATTTATCTGCCTTCCACGGGGGATGAACGTACTCCCATGGCGAACACGGTCTGCTAGATCAGTAAACATAACGGCAGCGTGGTGCTTCTCGTCGCAGCCTTTGGATTTTCCGGGGGTGCAACATAGGGGCGCTATCATTTCTGCGGGCCCACCAGGGACATGAGATTGGCATCGATCTGTGCTAGGATTTGCAGATGGCCTTGGTGTCTAGCCTCACCATCCACGTATATCCCACTCTACTCTCAGGCTTCGATTCTCTCACTCTTCAGTCTTGTTTTCGTTGTCGCTCGTTTTCACTCCAGTCATTCGTTCCTGTTGAGCAGGTCTTTCATTCACGATGCATTTTTCGCAATTCCTGCTTGCAGCGGCTGCTATTGCACCGGCACTCGCACAGCTGTCGGGCAAGGTCGGGCCTTTAACCACTCACGCGGCCAAAACGGCCAAGAAGAGCTGCAACGTTATGGATTATGGCGCGAAAGCCGATAAGTCCACAGATCTTGGACCAGCCCTTCTCAAGGCATTTACTGCTTGCAAGGCAGGTGGCACTGTCGTTGTTCCTTCCGGAGACTATGCCTTGAACACCTGGGTCACGTTTGAGGGTGGTAAGGCGTGGGCGCTGCAGCTTGACGGCACCATCTACCGTACGGGTACCGATGCTGGAAATATGTTGTTCATCAGGAATGCCAACGATTTCGAGATGTTCAGCAGCACTGGCAAGGGTGCTATTCAAGGTACGCAAGGATGCTATTCGAGATCGGTCATGTTCCGTCACAGTGCTGATCACAATTGCAGGCAATGGTTACCAAGACCACAAGAACGGCAAGCGAAATGGCGCGCGTCTTCTTCGCATTGAGAAATCGACCAACTTTGGGATCCACGACATAATTCTTGTCGACGCGCCCATGTTCCACTTCGTAATCAACAATTGCTCGAACGGCGAAGCCTACAACATGGCGATCCGCGGAGGCGACTGGGGTGGTCTCGACGGTGTCGACGTCACCTGTACCAACTGCTGGGTACACGATATCATGGTGACTAATAAAGACGAGTGCGTAACCGTAAAGTCGCCTTCCAAGAACGTCCTGATCGAGAATATCTACTGCAACTGGAGCGGTGGCTGCGCCATGGGCTCTCTTGGCGCTGATACTGCCATCTCTTCCGTTGTGTACAAGAACATCTACACATGGAAGTCTAACCAGATGATGATGGTCAAGTCCAACGGTGGCAGCGGCTACGTCGAGGATGTTGTTTTCGAAAACTTCATTGGCCACGGCAACGCCTGGTCGCTAGACATCGACCAAAAGTGGGCTTCGATGAGCACTATTGCTGGCAATGGCGTGCAGTTGAGCAACATGACATTTAAGAATTGGAAGGGAACAGTCGAATACGGCCTGAACCGCGGGCCTGTCAAAGTCGTCTGCGCAGAAAAGGCTCCTTGCACTGACATTACCATCGAAGATTTGGCCATGTGGACTGAGAAAGGCAGCAACAACATCTATCAATGCCAGAATGGTTACGGTAGCGGATTTTGCTTGAAGAAGGGAAGTGGGGGCGCTTATCCAGCCACTACCAGCACTCAAACTGCTGCACCCACTGGTTACTCTGCACCTACTATGAAAGAGAACCTCCAGACTGCGTTTGGTACAGCCAGTCCCATTCCTATTCCTACGATGCCGGCAAGCTTTTACCCAAACACACCACCGATCACTAAACTTGCTGGCAAATAAATCCACATCGCCGAGCACTCCATGTTCGCTATTGTTGACTTCATAAATTTGTACATATTCACTTCTGTTCACAATCCTACATATTCAACCCAAATGCCGAGAGCCTCTATCACATACGTGAATCTACTCAAACGCCCATTTTGGTAGTGGTTTCCCGTCGCCATCATTGTATGAGCGCCACTCCTGGTAGCCTTCCCAAACCGCCACGGGTAAAATTCGTTGTTCCGGTCGGTCACTTGGATCAGGCTCCAAGCATTCTCCAACTAGCGATCCCAGTTCCAACTGGAAGTAATTAGAGTATCCTAATGGATCGCACTCTGGATCGAGTACATCCATGTTAGGACGCTGTCGCATTTGTCCCAGGCAGAGCAAAATCAGACCGAGTGCATATATGTCTCCTCTTTCGCTGTAGGTAGACTCCGGAGGCTCGAAAGCGACGTTTTCCCAAGCGAGTAGCTTTGCGGCTTGGTTGTTCAAACTAATATCCGTAGACTTTACACTGCAGCCAAAGTCGCAGAGTACTACAGTCGGGTAGCTATTCATCGTGTCGCCAGCTAGAGTGCTAGACCATGTCAACAAGATGTTGGCTGGCTTTAGGTCGCGATGACGAATGGCGTTCCAACCACGCACGCGGCCCTCTACTGGTCGGCCCTGCATAGCGTAATCGCGTGTCTTTTTGTAATCCTGACCCGTCCAAAGATAGCAGAGAGCCTGTGAAATATCCCAGAATACTTTCCAAAAGAAACCTTCGTCTGGGATATGCATCTCGCGTTCTTTGTACCGCATAATTAGCGCATCCAAAGAACCGAGCTCGCAGTGCTGCATCCAGATTGAACCATACGTGTGGTCAAGATCTGCTGTGTCGCTGTCCATGATTGATGCAATGTTAGGATGAGTCCGGCACTGTTCCATGGTGGCAATCTCGCTGTGGATCGAATGGACACCGTTTTGGTACGCAGTCACACGTTTTTCGACGCATATTGCATTCGAAGGGCGATACTTAACAACGTAGACACCGACGTTCTGTTTGCCACCGTGGAAGCCTTGCGGAGCCTCTTCGATTACGACATATTTGTCGCGCGCGGACGTCTTGACCATCTCTGTGGAGGACATAGATGGTCTGTGAGACATGCCTTGCTTTTGGTGCTTGGGCTACTGGGGGGAAAGAATAGATCAGTAGATATGGAATGATATTTACTATGAATGTCAATCATTGTGAGAGTTGGAATGACAGCTGTGCGTTGACGGGTTGTCTTGTTATCAACGTCTACATGTACAGCGATGTAGTGATAAATCTAGCCAGTGTGAGCTTGACACGCGTACAGTCGATATCACCACGCCGCGTAGGCATTCATCGGTTCAGTACAGCTTGGTACGAAGACGGCGTCAGAGCCGCTTTAATTTAATTGAATGCAGACAATATCAATATGATTCTATGACATGAGACTAAATACGTGACGTGCTCTACTTTCGCTAGCAATATATCCATGCTATTTGCGTACAAATCGAAATCGCGAAAAGATCTTAGTCATTGGGCCGTGCCCCCAGCGCTCGCACTAAGCCCCACAAGCTATATCGGTCGGCGTGTTTGATGGGCTCACGATGAAATCGTCGTACGCGACGAGGCTTCCACTGTGGGGTGTGAGCTGGGGTAACCCGCTGGCGTCCTTGGTAACGGTAAAGCGGGTCGAGTAGCTGCGGGAGTTGCATCGTTAGTATACCTTCATCAGACTAGTATAATGCACGCGCAGTTGTGGTTTTGGAACGTACTAGGCCTGAGAGCAGTTTCCACCATCGTATCTCGTCTCGATAACACCAAGCACCTGGTATGTCTTCTCGGCAGTTGTTTCTGAATCAACGGTGGTCACGTTAGGAAGATGGTTCCAAAGCTTGTTGCCAGCTACGGGGAGAAGCTCCTCCTTCAGCGCGACAATCTCTTCGGAGCCAGTAGCGGTGTTCTCAAGAACAATGAGCTGCCCGTTGGGTGTGAAGAAATCGGTAAAAGTGCTTGTAGCGGACGGGTCCTCCGCGGAGGCGTAGAGCCTACAAGTTTGGGTTAGTGCTCTAGTCGTTCTTGCCGTTTGCGGGAGAATCATGGGATATCGTACTCTTTGACGAAGGACTCAAAACCCACTTCGACCCCGGATCCTGTAGAGTACTGAGTCATTTCGACTGATGCTGCTACGCCCAAGAGGCAAACAGGGGTGATAAAAGAAGAGAGCTTCATTGCTGCTTTTGCTGCGTGCTTGTGGAATGTTTTGTAAGGTGATGGGAGAGTTGATCGTAGAATGATCCATAACCTGTAGCTTTTATACCTATTCATATTGCACATGAGTTGGCCTACTCCACAACGAAGTAAAATAGTACTTAACCATACCCTCTCCGAAGCAATACCGTGGCTAGCGATAGCAGCTTCACCGCTGCTGCGCATGGATACAAACACCAGTCTGCTTAACGCATGCCGTCTGGTTGGTGAGTGAAAGTTCGCTGGCAAGACTGAGATAGCGATGCAGCCAGTCAGTCATGAGCAACGAAGAAGTCGGGTTTTTCTTCGAACAGTACGACCTTAATTGATTTTGCTGCTTTCAAAGGGGAAGTCACATTCGCTAGCCACTGTATTCGAAATGCTATGGTCTAAGCATTCTACGAGATCTGGTCGGGCCGGCGCGGCGGTATATCCACATCGTGAAGGAAATTCAGCCGGGGAAAATTTATAGGTTGCGTCACTTGCTTGAGACGTCTTACCTTCTTGCACAGGGAGACAATGGAGAGAAGAACCCGATAGCTCATCCTTTTCTGAGACAAGATTGTGCTTCGTAACAACCCTAGGGTGATGTTGAGGGGCGTCGCCACGGTTTGGAATTTGAGCCCATTGACGCCTGGGCAATGATCACCGTCCAGCTTGTGGGCCACGATGCCTTGGCTGGACGTTCGAGCCACGATTGAAGGCCGTGTCGTGAAGAAAATTCTCCACAAAGATAACACAGGTGGGTGGTAGTCGTCTTGAAGGTGGGCCCTGTTCGTGATCATGGGACCTTCTGGCTTTCGCGCGCGAGCCTGTCCAATCATTTCGCAACCATTAGGCATGCTCATACTTGTGCCGCTTCGACCATATATAGCCTGGAGTGTCGTGTTAGCAGCTCATGGCCCGCAAGCGTGAATTTCGATGCCATGGAGCTGGGGCATCATGGGTAGAGAGGGAATGTGCCTCGCGCCTCATTCAAGGTACAAACTGAAATACTGGGTTGCGATAAAGTCAACGAGCTTCCAAGGTAACGTGTACTTCTAGGTTGGGAGGCACTTAGGTAGGTATTCATCTTTTCCCATAGATTTTGTGCTCGCCTCTTTGGATAGGTGCATGACAGCTATGTTACCCAACCAGCGGGCAAGCTGCTTCTCAAGCTATGGAGAGACTGAGGTGAAGCATGGCAGCGTACCTTGGGAACTCGGCGCATTCTTTCGAAGATCAGTGGTGTCCAGCCGCCTCGACCGGGTAGGGCTGCCGGTAGATTTGCGATTGCGCAACAGAGCTGAAGACGTCGGGCGCCGAACGATTGCGCCATGGTATAGACCTTCCTGATGCTCGTTCTATCGTTCATACGGGTGTTGGCGTATCTTCGTGATGCAGTGGGCCACGTATCGATTGCATTGCTGATCGGCAGGTGTAGAGGGATGGCACACTTGGGCACGGGCTAGTACGAGAGAATAGCAAACCGCTCTTGTGTTATGACATCTTCGCGCGCGACAACGTATTTCCCGTCGGTAGCGGTAGTCAATGACGAAGTGAGTGAATGCGATGCGACGAGGGACCAATTTTCCCCATGGGATGTGGTGGAAAATGAGCCGGCATCTTGATTTGGGGTAGATCTAGAGGAATTGCCGATTGCGGGGTTGCTGCAGGAACGCGGAACCTTAAGCTGTACGTCATCTTCGGTACCTGGCGACGGCATGGAAGCTTGTCACCGCACTGTAGCACATGTATATATTCTGGCTATGCGACTATGATGTCGTTGCGTTTAGAGTTTCCAACTAGTATCTAGCAACGTTACCACTGCTTTCACCATGCGACTCTTCACCCCAATCACTGCACTTGCTGCTGTTACTACTTCCACAATGGCACAAAGCGCACCAGAACCACCTCAGATGACCCTAATTTACCACATGGAAGCGCTCCTGGGAGAAAGATTCTCGCTCGGTTCTATTCCAACCGGGCAAGAACGCATCGTCATCCCTATCGTTGGAGGCACTTTCAAGGGACCAAGGATAAGTGGTGAGTAGTCCTCTTGGCCTAAACATGTCATCGTGTTTCAAAGATCATGAGAAAAGGCTGGGACATATTTTCGACAGCTCATGCCTCGTGCTCTTATGTATCATGACGTCATGTCACTCACATCTTGTAAGGCAAAGTTCTCAATCTCGGCGCGGACTGGCGCCTTACGGACGCGCAAGGCGCTTTCCGACCAGACGCCCGATACAATATCCAGACCGATGACGGAACCTTCATATACGTTCAGACGATAGGACTCCCACCCGCTGCGGATGGTGCCCCCACGATGTTGCGAGGACAATTCGAAACCGACACAAACGGAACTGCTGCGTGGTTGAACGATGTGGCTGCTGTCGGCGTCCTCAGAAGGAACGGAACGTCGAGTGTGATAATCGACATGTGGCAGGTACGTGGAGGGAAAAGAGCACGAGACGAAATTAAGGCTAACAAGCTCAGGCATCTCCACCTGCATAGGGGTCAGGCTTTGATGTTAAAAAGAAAAATAAAATCTGGATTGAACTATCATCGTGCAATGCTTGATGCTGATTTGTCCTTCGACAATCCCGATGCGGGTGGCGGTTGTGGCTCACCGTGTGGCTGGTAGCCGAAAATTGGCGCCGACCTCGCTCTTCCGCTAGTGCGCGTCTTCTTACCTGTCACACCTGAATCAGACTTCACTCTATCTCGCAGCCCCCTCCGACTACTTCTGACCTTCAGGAATTCTATCATTATCTATCGTTCAATGATGACAGACATGCAAGAATGGCAGATCTTACCAGCCGATCTGATAGAGCTTCAAATTGGCCAAGTTGAGCTTTTGCTGGCAATGTACCCTGACGAGATCACACTCGACGAGAACTCTCAGGGAATACTAGATATCCTGCGCGATACCGATGATGCTCGGTCTAGATCTGCAGCCAAATATACGCCGGTCATCCCAGTCATCCTTGACCTGCCAGTATCTACGCCCAACGAAGAGTCGCCGAATTCAAGGACATTGCGTCTGGATATCGGGGTACCGTTCGCGTTTCGCGGTGATAAGCCGCCTTTAGACCCACCGACCGTAAAGGTTCGGGTGCAGCAACCGCAATGGATGAACAAAGCCGCCACGTCGCGGTTGACGTCGGACATACCAGAAGATGAAGACCTGCTCAGTAAAATTGAGTACATCAGAGAAGCTGCAGTCGAGTACCTGACGGAAATTGAGACGAAGGAACTGGGCCCGGATCTCACTGCTGTGGACGCTGGACCGCTGGTAAGGGTTTGGTTCTATTTTCCATCGATCAGCACACGCTCCAAACGCGACGACTTCATCAAGTTTGCTCCTTCTTACCAATTGACCGGCTTTCTTTACGCTGGCAAGCCAGGTCTTCTGTGCGTCGAGGGCGGATCACAAAACATCGATGATTACATGAAGTACATCAAAACGGAAAGCTGGGGCGACATCCCGGCCCATCACAAGAAAGTCAGCGAGCGACATCGGGAGCAATGTGAAAGGCGAGTCTTCCCAGACATGACTGAAATTACCGACACAGTCGGTGAGCGACGCGGCCAAAGAGCGAATAGAGGTGACATGAAGGCGATCGAGGAATGGCTTGTGGAGAGGGGACTAGGCGATGCTTTTACAAAGGTCTTAATGTAATCCATCTCTACTTGACCCCCATACGGCCTCGCTACCTAGCTTTACTCAAACATCCTGGACATGGAATATCAGAGTCGGAACTTCTCGCAACCCCTTATCATCTTCATCTTCATAGTACAAGCATACTTCTTGAATAGTCTTGTGGCCCAGTTTCGCCTTATGCTGAGCGAGCAAATGCAGTACGCCACTTCCATTGGGTGTGCCGCATAACGCTATCGCCTCTTCAGACTCTATTGGGAAAGCTATACCTGGCCATCTCGGAAGCCAGGAGTCATACGAACTTCCTGGCTCAGCTGTTTCCTGTCGATTTTTACGAAGAGAGGCAAGGATGATGCTACAGATGGCTCGTGTGTTCGCATTGAGAACCTGGTATCTTACTACAAGTCTTAGCTCTGGCATATTGTACTGAGATCTAAAGTTAGTACATACATTCTTCCATTGCAAGAAAGCAACATCGGACCAATGTCGCAGCTCTGGGAGTTTGGCTACCAACGTCGCTGGATCCAGATTCCTATATGGGTTCAGCATTGCTTCCGGGGTCGTGTTGCATTCTGCCAACAAAATACCGGCCTCGGGTTCTATCACGCTGTGAAAATGCGCCATGGTGGCTGGATAGATCTTACCGTCGACCGTAACAGTCTCGTCGTGATTGGTAAGGATACCCGCTGTGGTGGGAGAAGACTTGAGGGTAGGGCCTAGGGCTCGTACTAGGTTCGTAGCAGGAGTGGGATTCGGGCTAGCAAGAGTGAAAGTAACCCAACCCCACCTTTCCAGGTCATCAACGTCCTGAAATTGACTTTGACGCGGGCCGTCGGTCATATCTGCGATTGTGAGAGCTAGAAGGCGTTGTCCTTTCTCGATAGCTTCCTGGTATGTCAATGCGCCTTTCATGATTGTCCCAACTTCGGGCGTCTCATACTTATCACTCATATTTGGGGTGTTGGTATGCTAAAGCCGACAGTTGAAGTCGAGCTGAGGAAGCGACCTCGCGTTTGTTAAGTACCTAAATTTTTGTATGCTAGATCAATACATCACTATAAGAATGCAACTGTGCACAGTACTATTCAACCTTCCAAACATCGTGAATGATTACTACCATTTCGCAAAAAATACACACGAGACATTGCAAAAGTGCGCAATCTCGTTTGCATTCGCCGCGCTTCTGATGTGCACAAAGCCATTGTGAGCTCTCCAAGGACCCTCAACGCCACCGCCTCAATCTGATGGTAACGCGTTCCAAAGCAACATTTCCCTCCTT